CTTTGGAGGCCCTGCACCCACAGGCCCAACGTACCCAGGTGGCCCTGGACCCACAGGCCCGAAGTACTCAGGTGGCCCTGCACCTACAGGCCCGATGTACTTCGGGGGCCCTGCATTCACAGGCCCAACATACTCAGGTGGCCCTGCACCCACAGGCCCGACATACTCAGGTGGCCCTGCACCCACAGGCCCGATGTACTCCGGAGGCCCAGCACCCACAGGCCCGATTTACTCAGGTGGCCCTGCACCCATGGGCCCGACGTACTCCGGAGGCCCTGCACCCACAGGCCCAACGTACTCTGGAAGCCCTGCACCCACAGGCCCCACATACTCTGGTGGTACTGTAAGACAAGATGTTTCTGGCAATAGTGCAGGAGCTCCATCACCTCCAATTATTATTTTTCCTCTTTTTCCTCCTGCACAAGCCTCTCCCCCTAGGCCTCAACCGCCAGTCCCAGCAGCTCCTCCTCCAGCTCCTCCAATAATAATATTTCCACCATTTCCAACAGCTCCTGGCTCAGGTACAGTTCCTGCCCCAGCTGCTTCCACTTCTGCTTCTGAATCTAGCAGTCTTGTACCCCTTCAACCTACAATTTCTTCACAATCCAGACAACCATCAGTATCACTCCCCACTCCTGAGATAAGGTTTCCCACACCCGCTGAGCAACCTCCACCACCCCCCATTGCACCTCCTGCAGACACCCCTTGTCCCTCGGGGGCAGATAGTGATTCTCCTTCAGTTATCCCATCTCCGCCTGGAGGAGATGATATCCCCCCAATATATGTCTTTTCATCATCCAACAATGGAGAGACAAGTGACCAGGCACCAATCTTTATTTTCCCACCTGCTTCCAGCCCACCTAGTCCACCACCAACACCAAGCCCTCCTTCACAACCCATTTTCATCTTCCCTCAAGAAAGCACCTTGACGTCTGGATTCCAGACTGGTGAGGTGATATCTGGTGGACAGAGAATGGCAACCTTCTTCCTCTCTCAAGGAGCAGCAGTTCCAGGAGCAGAAGTGGGAACAGCAGTAGGCACAGGAGGAATGGGTGAAACCAAACCTACACCTCTTGTGCCAGCCACAGCTGCCACTCCGACAAAAGAAAGTACTCAGCCTGTATCTGGATCCAACGCAGAGTCAGGACCCCCTAATATTCTTATTTTTCCTGGGATATTTTTACCAATTCCTGAAAAGACAAATACACCAGAGAATATGGTTGCAGCTCTGAAGAAAGATACATTTCCTCAGGTTCCAAAACAGGCTTATCCCAGAAACCCACTGGCCATTTCTTTAGGAAGAAAGAAGACTAAATAATATTAGGGAAAAGAACATGCACACAAGCAACAGAACTAAACGTAGGGCAAAAACACTGTATGTTGTGTAAGAAACAGCATCTGGGCTCTTGAATATGTTGGAGGATTCTTCGCTAAAACTGTTTCATACTTGCTTTCTTTGTATTACGTCTATATTACTAAGTTATATACAGCTATAAGAATACAGCTATAAATACATGACAACACAAAAGATTTACTGAAAAACTAAAGGACTTTTTAAAGGTTACTTTGCTGAATGAATTTTTTTGTAAACTGAAGCTGACCTTATTAAATGTGCTAGTTACTTATAGGCAAATATAGAAACACAATAACATGATGATCTTAATAATTTCCAATCTATAATTCACAAGAGTTTTTTCATTACTTATGTTATTACTTTTTACTTCTGAAAATGCTGTAAAATGGTGTTGTACAATCATGAATCCATAATTTAATACATTTGAATTTACAATTTGAAAAACTAAATTGCATTTAAGCACTTAAAGATCACAAAGAACAGCAATAAATAGTTTGCAAATCTTCACTGGTCAAGGCTTCTTTTCCCCACCATTAAACCTGATTACACTTATATGAAAATGCATTAATGAATACTGAACTGTTGTGCCTGCTCTCTTTAATAACTAATAAATATTTGAAACAAGCCAAATGTCTCAGGAGGCCAGTGTGTGCTCTTTTTCTTCTCACAGTTAAAACCAGAATCTCCAGAGCTCTACACATTATTGTGTGCGTTAAGTGTGACTTCTTTAATTTAGTCTTTACTGGACAAAAGCTGAAAAAATACAAAATTACCATGTTCTCATACAAAATAATGATACCTGTGTTGAGCAGACACATGACAGGTTAGTACTTAGGTACTGACACATACATATAGATGTATACACATTTTATAGTGAATATATTAAGACACTTTTATGGATAAAATAATATAAATGTTAGCATTTACTTATTTGACCCCATCATGTCTGCTTGCCTGTTCTCCAGTTCCCCTGGCAGATGCCTCAACAGCCTTAGTTTCTGTTGCCTAGGATCCCAGAGCTCTGTCTGTTTAGCCCCCACACCTCCTTACCCATGGCTCGGTTTTGTCCTGTCGACTCCTGTCCCTTGCACTTTATCTTTTCTCTATCCTCTTTCCAGTCACCTTTCTGGCTCTTCTTTGGTTACTGTGGTTGCTTTCTTGGGTCAGGGCTCTTTTTTATTCCTCATCCTCCTGTCTCTTGGGCTGTCTGGTTCTATTTTTTCTTTTTCCTTTTTACCTTGTTTCCTTCAAGTGTCCCAGCGAAACCTTCTTTTCCTTCAAGGCATCAACCTCCTTGAGGATTCTTTTTCTGGACTCTGACTGGGACCACTCCCTGCAGCTGTGACCCAGGGCTTTGGTGAGAGGTGAGATGGATCAGCAAAACCAAAGAGCTGATCGTTGACTTCAGGAGACAAGGAAAAGTCCACTCCCCCATCTTAATTGAAGGGTCTGCGGTGGAGATGGTGAATAACTTCAAATTCCTATGTGTTCACATCTCTAAGGACCTCACATGGGCACTCAACACTTCCAGTCTTATCAAGAAGGCACAACAGCAGCTGTATTTCCCTAGAAGGCTGACGAAAATATGCCTGCATCAACGGATCCTCAGCAACTTCTGTAAATGTACAGTAGAGAGCATACTGACCAGCTGCACCACAGTCTGGTACGGCAACTGCACTGCATCCGACTGTAAGGCACTGTAGCAGGTGGTCAAAACTGCCCAACACATCATCGGCAGTGCCTTACCATCCATCCAGCAAATCTACAACAGAAGGAGTCTGAAAAAAGCCACCAAAATTATGTCTGACCCCACTCACCCCAGTTATAACTTGTTTGTCCCTCTACTCTCTAGTAGAAGGTTCCTGGACGCTCCAGTTGCACACTACAAGACTCCAAAATAGATTCTTCCCTCGAGCCGCCAAGCTGGTGACGCCCCCACTTCCTCCCATCATACTGTACTCTCCTCACTTCTTTCTGTACCCAAAATGACTGTACTCCTACACCTCTACATACACGACAACTGAATGTAAGCTGAAATTGTACTTAAAACTGTACTAGTTGTACTATAATAATAACTAATAATTGCTTACACTTATATAGCACTTTTCTGCTTACACTCCACTCAAAGCGCTTTACAGGTAATGGGGACTCCCCTCTACCACCACCACCAATGTGCAGCATCCACCTGGATGATGCGATGGGAGCCATAGTGCGCCAGAACGCTCACCACACACCAGCTATCAGTGGGGAGGAGACCAGAGTAATGAAGCCAATTCAAAGATGGGGATTAATAGAAGGCCATGATTGGTAAGGGCCAATGGAAAATTTGGCCAGGACGCTGGGGTTACACCCCTACTCTTTTCGAGAAACGCCCTGGGATTTTTAATGACCACAGAGAGTCAGGACCTCAGTTTTATGTCTCATCCGAAGGACGGCGCCTGTTTACAGTATAGTGTCCCTGTCACTATACTGGGGCATTAGGATCACACGGACTGCAGGGTGAGCGCCCCCTGCTGGCCCCACTAACACCTTTTCCAGCAGCAACCTTAGTTTTTCCCAGGAGGTCTCCTATCCAGATACTAAACAGATTCACACCTGCTTAGCTTCAGTGGGTTGCCAATTGTGAGTTGCAGGGTAATATGGCTGCTGCACACACACTACTGACTATGCCAGTCAGTAATCAATTAATTGATTACCACCTTTCTGTTTCCGTTTCCTTCAACTTTTCCTTTCTCCTGGCGCATCCTAGCTCTCAATCAGTTGGGTCTACTTGGGTGTTCCGCCAGTCTCCGGTCTCTAGCACTTGGGTTTTAACACATCATCATCGTCACGCAGCTGTAACCGGATGCAGCATTACATAAATAAGTTAAAGTAATGTAGATACATTTGATACGCAGAATGTGGAACATTTTTCCCCTTTTTGATTTTGCATGGTAGTGAATATAATATTCAGGAGTAGAGAGATACGGGTTTCTTACAAGAATGTGCTCTGCACACACTCATACAGATGTAAAGAGTATAGTATGCTTTCTGTTTATTGCATACTTTCCTTGCTACTCTAATGTCTGTCTCAACATGCGCTGCGGTGCAACAGGAGCCACAAAGAATAATAAGAATAACAAAGACACTAAAATAAGCTTGCTGCAGGTGAAAAGTGCTATACTTTAGGATTGCAGATGAACTCATCCAGATTCTTAAACTGAACAGTGAATACTCATTCATGAAGTGTTAACATTCTGAAAAAAAAAATCTTCTCTGAAATACAGTGAATGAACATTACCCTGTGGAACACTCTAAATATGTGGGATAACTTCAAATTTAAAAGTTTTATGGTTTGCCTCCAGGTTGCCAAATTAGAGCCAAACCAGTGACAGGAAGTACCAGGATCTCTGATAATTATCCTTGTGATCCAGTAGGATGCTATGATTGACAGTATCAAAAGCAACATGTTAGTCCAGAAGCAGGGAAATATTCCAGAATCCAGAAGTCATGAAGCAAAAATAATTTTCCAAGAAAGAGAAATAAACTAAAATCTGGCTAAAAAAAACAAAATCAGCAAAAATACAGCAATAGACATAAAAAAAAATTCTGAGCTGATGGGATAGAATGAGTCCCACTGTGGATGAACATTTTTTATTGTTCATCCTGAGTCAATCAATACATGTCCCTGCAGATGTACTGCACTTCCACAGAAACACTGGTTATTTCATTAATTATAGAAATGGTAGATTTTAGTACATCTCACATCAAATAAGATGATGGAAAAACTAAAACATACAGCCTGGAGAATACAGTTTATCACCATTTTACTATATAGATATGTACAGTAGATCCATTTTTTTAAATTTAATTTAGAATACATTAATTTAATTTGGAACTTCATTTGGTGTTAAGTGATTCTGATAATACAAATGCATATATATTTAAGCAAAACATGGATCAAGTTATCATTATTGGTCTTTACTTCCCCTATTTAAAATCAGCCATGTAAAACAATAAGCAGATTCCAGCAATACTTTGTGGTAACTGTGGGATTCAGGCTTGTTCCAAACTAGTATTTCTGAAAACTAATGATAGCCTGATAGAGAGATGCAAACCAAAGAGATAAATGTGTAAAGCTAAGAGTTATCTTGTTTTACGAGTTACATATCTTCAGATAAATAAACCTGTAAAATCTTATACTATATTTATTTTAAATGATTACTTAATTTGCCTCCACTGTTTTTTTTCCCAGTACATTAGTTTTGAAGTCCATAAAAAAATTAATTTGTTGTTAAATTAAGTTGTGCTGTTTGGGTATCCTTTTGGAAGTCATAGTACTATCCTAGAGTCTTTGTTGTATCAGGACAGTTCACTGTTTATGTGTAAACATATAGCTTTCTAGCTATGCGGTGTTGGAATATCTATCTACTGTAGATTAAAAGTCTGTTGTTGAGATACTATATTGCCTAGCCCAGTTGCCTTAAAAATATAATTTCAAAGACAATGATTTTGGAAAAGACATTTTTTTTACGATATTTTGAACCTGTAGTGGTCTTCAGAGTTAACTTGTTCATATTTTACTTTTTTTTAGTTTTATATGCCGTCATCAAGACCCCTCAGAGTAAACACACTGATAAATAATTGAATAAACTTAAAAATATCTAGACAAAAGGCAATGATATATACTGTAATTAGCAACACATTCCACAAAGATGAGAAGAAATCATAAAGTTAAGGAAAACTCTGGGAGAACAATTGTGTGAAAGTATAGGAGAAGGCAGATATGCTGGTCAGTTTTACTAAGAAAGAACCAAATTAATAATTTGATCTTTATTATATTACTGTATGTACAGATTTCCATTGGTTAAAATGTATATTAATATAAAGTAATTCACCAGCTATTCTGTGCTGACATTTTGTATTCCATGGTGGTATGAAATGGAATATTACAGTTCTCGTAACTACAGGCCACATCATGACCTGGTACAATAATGTATTTTATTTTTTTAAGTCTAGTGTATCACGTCTTAATAAACAAGAAATCATGGTTATTGAAAATTGCAGACCACATAAAAACATGTTCAGATCAGCTCTATAGCAATTACAACAGAGCGCATTTATGATCTTTGGCAACATCTTTAAAAAATAACATTATTTAGTAGTGGTTCCAAACCCTGGTCCTGGGGCAATTCTTTGTCTTCTGGCTTTTACCCGTGCCAAGCTCTTAATCTAATTGATTTCTATCTGAGGCATATTGGTATATTTGTTTTCAGCACACAAAAAGTCAAATGGGATTTGAAATTGGTATCACCACTGTACTTGTTTCTGAGTTTCAGTACTGAGCTCATTTAATTCTGTTCCCTGAAATGTAATAGTGTAGAGTGATAGATGTAATAGATAGTGTTATTCCCACCTGTGTCTATTCATTATCAACTGGTCACCTGATAAAAGCTGTTTTGTCAGAAATAATGGCCAACATGCTGAGGAGAGGCTGTGTAAAGTTCTTTGTGTAGATGGTGTTGAAAACAATACCCTCGAACCTGGACATATTCGACATTCAGGACTAAACAAAGGAACAATTTAAATCAAAGACTAAACAGCAAGCAGCTCAATTAAGTCATAGTTTAGCACAGTGTTTCTATTCTTACAGACTTAGCAAATATAAAGAAAAATATATTAGAGTATTTAATAATTATTATATTATTATTAATAATAATAATTAATTATAATAATAATTATTATAATTATAATGGAAGGTAAGAAAGATTTATTCTTACCACATTTTGAATTTTTGTTAACGTTAACAAAACATTTTGATTGTTTATGTCTTTACTTCAGTTTGGAGACTTTTTTTTAACTTAGATGACATATTAATATTCACTTTCAATGCAAACTCATGTTTTGCATACAAAAAAGAAAGTTAGTTTAGATGGTTACCCTTCTGGTTTGATGTGTTCTCTCAGATCTTATCTGTTTACATTTTGACCGATAATTAGCAAAAACATTGCACCTTCATACATAGCACTAACATAAATTGATTCATTAACCAAGAATGTGACATTGCAAAAATATCTTCAAATATATACTTATGGGTAATAGTATTCAGATAAGATACAATATGTTGTATTATAAATATATTTATGTTTGTGATTTCAGTACTGTTCTGAGATTGCCAATGGTTCAAAACTACAGTACCATTCATTTTTTCTACTGTTAGATGGATGCCCAAACCATCAAAACAGACAAAATACATAAATATGCTATAAAGAGGATTATGGTCTTTTTTGATGTTGTTATCCCTTTCTGGTAATAGGATACAGTAATGAAAGTCTTTTCAATTCACATATTACAAATGCACAAAAAGTAGGTTTATATAACAGTTTTATAAAGTGCATGCACTAGAAACCAGTTGTTTCAAAGTGACAGCTTCAGTACATACAGTATAAACTTTATTTGTTTGCTTTTAAGATAAATTATTTTATCTAAAACCATAATAATATTTTTTAGAACTAGGTAAGAGCATGTATTACCTCTTTTACTACTACTCCTTATAGTTACTATTACATAATGGTGATACATTGTTTTGATTTACCTTTAAACTGCAGTTTAAACTGCAACAAAGATGTTGCAAATTATGGTGTCAATTTTGAGGCTTTCTGTGCAATGTAAATTGGATTGTTATGTGTCTGGGCAACCTTTACTGGAATTCATGAATTAGGCACAGAGGGCAAACTCTCATCAACACCCAAGTTCATTTGAGACATTCTGAATCCCACGTAGGATGACTGCATAATCTGATATTTGATTTGATTGTGAATGAACCCATTTTAAATTGTCAAAGGGGTAAACCAGGAATCTTCTACAATCTTCCAACTTTAGACTCTGAACAGGGGTACTGTTTTTGCTATGTCTGCCTGTTAGTTTTAAACATGGAGGAGATGGACACAGAATATTTTTATAAAATCCCATATCAATACTTTTTCTTCTTTTAGGATCTGCTGGATATCATGAAGGTGGCTGTGATACTTCTATACCTTTATGGTGCAAGCTTGAGCCTTCCTGTGAGTAATTTCTACTTTATTTCTACCTTATTTCTCTTGAAGTCCAGTTTTCTTTCTACTGCAGTAACAACGATTTTAACCTGATTAATAAGAAAAAACAACCTCATTTTGATAAAACGTGAATTTTCCTAATTACATACTAACTTTATTTTTACTTTCCAAACCCAATTTAAAAATTGACCAGTTTTCAGTTGAGTTGAAATGATCATACTATGGTGTTACAATTAAGCTGCTTTGAGAAGTATTTAATTTTGGATATTTGTAAATGAAAATAACTTTAGTATTTGTAATACTTCCTTTGAAATGCAACACAAAAAACACATTTAAGGGGAAATAATGTAAAATAAATAGTTTAGTTTTTTGTAATATATGGTCAAATGATCCCAATAAATATGGTGGTTTGATGGAAAATTAATTACATTTTGTTCAGAGACAGCACTAAAAATCTGAATGATGAGTGTTGCATTTCAACATTTTTTTGTGTTTTCTTGCTTTTATGGGACACAACTCAAAAGTTGTATTATCCATTTAAATGCTCATGTAGGATTAGGTGGCATTACACCAAGCTAATCTCAATGAGCTGGAGTTGAATGAACAACTGGAGTTGAGAAGAACTGATTTATATCTTTGTCATGAAAGATAAACCAAATGCCTTTTTACTGTGTTTGATGTCTGTTTTCCTGCATCCACTAGATGGGGCTTTGGTAACCTTTTACCCAACTTCATTCCAACTATTGTACATACCAAGGCACAATGAAAACGCATTGGTCTAAGGTTTACATCGATAGCTCATTGAACACACACATGGGCGTAAAATAATTTATATTCTAAATAGCAAGCAGATACATTTGTGGATTGCTTGAGTAGTATTGTTCCTATGGGTAAAAAATGCATTTGAAATGATTAAAAAGAGTTAATTAAAAATCTCTATAAACTGACAAATTTTAATTAACGAAAGAGATATTACTCAAGAGTAAAATTGGGCAGGGTTAAAAAGTGTCTTACAGAGTGTAGTTCTCACTTGTACAATATCTCTAGATCAGTGTTTGAAAACCTACTAAGGGTTTCTTAAGAATAGGTACTGTAGGACAATGACTATTCATTCAATTAAGACTGAAAACTTCCTTTCCATTAGTTATCTTCCTTGGAAGAAATAAGCCAAAGCAGGATATTTCTGAAATCAAAAACTGAATGAAAAAAATATTAATTATTAATTCATTAAGTTCAATACACAATGCAATACAGTTAAAGTTAAAGCAACTTAATTCTCATTTTGTTAGCTGATGCATTTATCCAAGGCAATATACTATTATATATTCCAAATATTCCAAATATTTGAATCACAAAGAAACCTGATGGAGAACTATAAACCAGAAGAAACCACCATGTATAAGATAATTCAACATTATTACTACTAACATTACATAATTCAATATAAATTAATTAAAAAAGCATTAAACAGGATAGAGAACTTGAAATACTGAGAAAAGTTATAGATACCACTAACTGAATCAAAAACAATAACAGAGAACTGCTTGGGCGCCTGTGGCTGAAAGGCTCATATCCTGTGGCCAGCAGAGGAATCCTACTCTACTGGGCCCCTGAGCAAGGCCCTTAACCCCAACTGCTCCAGGGGCACCATATAAATGGCTGACCCTGCACTCCGACCCCAAGCTTCTTTCTTTGTCTGTGTGTCTCACGGAGAGCAAGCTAGGGTATGTGAAAAGACAAATTCCAAATACGAGAAATTGTATATGGCCAATAAAGTAATCTTAATTTTTTATTTCTTAATGCAGATATAGGTGAATATATAAAATATCTCTCTATATATAACTTTTTATTTTTGACTTTTCTTATTTAATTGTATTCATACCTTTGACTGGAAACAAACATATCACACTGAAACTTTATTGAAACTCGGGCTGTGGTAAAAAGTAAAGACATATTCATCAGTTACTTGCTCATCATTCTGTTTCACAGAAGGAAGTTACAATCACTCATGTTTTCATCTGCAGAATCCAACACAGATGTCAGAACAAAGCCCAATCATATTTTGGTTAAGATGTGGTGTACAGTACGTCAGTGAGCAGAGATGTCTGAATACTTTGGTATTGCGATGGTGTAATGTTTTTTTAAGTAGATGACATCATCTCTGATGCACTGGTGTACCAAATAAATCTTTGGTATCTTAATTTGATGGTGTCATCTGACTGTCTGGGCTCTGTTTATGAAATTACATGGATTCTCATACAGTACACCTTATTAGATTTTCTCTTCAATATTAGGTTTAGCTTTAATAATAAATCATTATATGTTGCTTGTTTCCCATTCAGCAACAGAGAACCGAAAATACATAAACATTTTAAATTTCTTTGAACACTTGTGCTATTTTGTCATACAACTGTTTGGTTTTTAATATCTTAATGTCTAATGCATCTTGCAATATGTACATATTTGTATACTATATATACTGTAAATATGATGTACACAATATGTATGTCATTAATTGAAATGGACCTAATTGAAAGGACAGTAAAGTGCTCTTTTTAGTTCGATGTCTTGTAGATTTCATTCATGGAATTTATAGATTTATTACAAATGTATTTTTGATGTAAGAATAATAGGGGAGTTGATTCCAATTAAAAAGTCCAATTATGGGAGTTATTCTAATTACTACGGGAGTTGGACACATCCCCTGTGTAAAGATGTCTTTCCTGTTTTTTTTTTCTTTTGAATTTTCCAAACTTACCATAAGTCACACTTTCCTTACATAACAAAAAACTGTGGTCCCATTACACTTTATCTTAAACAGTAGAAGCAAGCATGGAGTACTCATACAGTACCTGGTGTGTATCTCCATAGGTGTTCAAGTCTGACTCATTTTCTCCCTGGAAGGGACTAAATCCTACAGCCTTGCCCAGGAAAAGTCCAAAGGTAAAAGACAGACTCTGTCATTTATTTTACTGGGGCAGATTTATTTTGAAAGCAAGCATTTACACTGAAAAAATCATCTTGCATGAAGATTAAAATGATTAAAACAGTGTGAACTATACAGTATAATGTTGATTTTAAGATTTACATTTTAACTAAATGTTTAATTTAAGTTGAATTAATTGATCTTTGTAACTTGCCTCCAATGGATATGTGTATTTCTAAATGTAGTTTTACCTTTTCTGCAAACTACAGGATCTTTGTAACTTGCCTCCAATGGATACAGTATGTGTAATTCTAAATGTAGTTTTACATTTTCTGCAAACTACAGGACTTGAACTCAACTGAAAGGTTTGTAGTCAGATCTAGTATATATAATCTTTCTGTTTTATGTTTTGTAGGCTATCCGATCTGACTCAAAGCTTCCATCTTTTCAAAAGGTCTTAGTTGTTCCTTTGAAGATGTCCACAACACAGAATGTAACAGGAAAACCTGCATTCTCTGTGTCCACAATCTTGTTCCATCATTCAAAATCTCTAGCATTTCAGCCAGACAAAAAAAACAAACCCTCAGTCCTTTCACAAGCCTCTAAGCTATCTGTTGCTGCTGCTGAGCCAGAGGCATCACCCAGCACGACAATCCCAGTGCCTCAAGTATTTATAATGCTTCCTAATATTGAGGGTGAATCTGTACCCGAGACCTTCAACATTCCACCAGTGATTGTGTTTGATCCAATCTCAGGCCCAATTAAATTCACCCCTCATCCAATTCCACCAATTTTTGGAGAATCACCTTCGGATCCTCCAGTATTTAAAATCCCCTCCATTTTCCCTTATGGCGAAATACCAGAGGATATTCCAATTGAGCCCCTTCGGATCTCAGTTCCAAGTTCAAACACCCCTTGATTTTCTGTGCACAATCTGCACTCATATAATTGGCATTAGCTGCAACAATACAGATCATCTGAAAGGTTTAATTCTAGTAAGTTTTATTTTGTTAAGTGCAAAACAGTAAACTCTTTTCAGCATATACAGTACAGCGAGTACACCAAAATGTAAAACTACTATGCCACATTTGATTCTTTTTGAATGAATCCATAAATAAATAGCGATGACAAGGGGAAGATTCCAAATTTTACTTAATAAAATATACTGAGAAACAACATAAAAGTGCATTTGAACCAATATTTGTTGTATGTGTAATACAGTGTACTGTATGTTATGTATATCCTCTAAATAAAGTGTTAGTGTTAGTTCAGAGTTAGTTCAGAAAAGTCTGAATTATTCCCAACCAGGAAATGTAGGAGGAAATAATCTTACATATACTATACATTCATTCAGCCTGTTACATCCATGTTACCTTAACATACAGGTATTTGCTCAGTAGTATCTCCTGCTATTGTTAATTCATATAGAGCTTGTTTGTTTCAACATACAGTACATGTTTAAACATTTGATCATACAGCAAGTACTTTGATCTCCTTCCAGTGAATCATTACCATTCTAAAAACCACTCACTTTGCGTGTCATTTCATGCTTCTTCTATCAAGTCCTTGGCAGAGCAGATGAGATACTATTTTCAAATACTGATGCAATTTTGTTAAACAATTTTGAAAAAATAAGCAAACTGACACAATTATTATCTAAGTATGCATTCAAACTGGATACCTAAGACTCAAGAAAACTACAGTGTCACGGCCGTCCAAAGGGACTAACCGTGGGGAGCAGGAGTGCAGAAAAAGACCCATATGCGTAGCGGCGAGACGGGAAAAAGGCCCGGGCTCATTAGTGCAAAGAGTTCAGGA